AGAATTCATATTTAAGTTATTTCATTAATAAACAATGTATTTAGACTAATACAAAGTTAGTATTAACAAAAACCATGGATGCCCCTAGGTACTGGATATTTGTTTCTAGTTTGGCAGTTAACGTGTTAAAGATAAGACCGTAAAAGTGTATAGTACTCATCAAATTATATCATTTTCATGACAATTTAGAATTTTGCTATCCCTTTATTCATGTTTAAAACAACTTGATTCTTACAGTTCGGCAATTTAGTTAATGTTACTTTATTTTCCGAAAAAATAAATAAAATCTACGTAATTTTTCTACTTGAAAAAATTTCTTTATTTACCTGATTGCTATCTTGTTTTGAAGTAGAATATAGAAGAGGAGGATTTGTATTAATAATCTTTATGGTGTAAAATTTAAGTATTTTATTTACGTTCGTTATCAGAATTACAATCAAGAACAACAATACAACAAAACAAAAATAATGAACGTTGTATACTACCAGTTGTTCATTACTTACGATTTGATGAATTTTGCAGTCTGCTCTGTGAGGAGAGACCAACCTTGACCGAAACATTCGCTCGAATGCGCTCAGCTAGTCGTGGCTCAGGTCGGAACTGGAGAGATCGATTCAAAACTCAATAGCGTGGGGGATGTACTGAGTTGCACACCATTGAGCGTCACTAAGAGCGGCGCGTTCAGGCCATTCAGAAAGGAGGAAATACGAGAGGAATATCGTGCCTGTTGGAAAGGTCATTAGTTATGGCGAACCGTCATAAACGGTGCACTTCATTCTGGGTTGTCGCCATTACAGAAAACTCTAAGAGTTTTGAAATACGTAATTCAAACGTGAATTTGTAAAGTAAATGGTCAGTAACATATTCCTCTAACAGTTCAGAATTTCCTTCTGTTTCTTCATCTCGATTGTGCAATGGTTATTAAATGTAAGGAATAAAAGGTCTTAATATTTTATCCGAAGTAAAGAATTTCTTTTATTTAAAGGTGCGCATACGATGTGGGAGGAAATAAATTGAAAGACCTCATAATAATTTTGAAAAGATAGTTAATTAACATTTATGCATACCATATCAGGTTATTTATTCGATTAGTGGCCTATTTGTTTTGATTATAACAGTGTAATTGCACTGTACGTATTAAAACATTGAGGAAGTAAAAAATAATCGTCTTCTTCATCCATTTTACATTTGTTTTTCCAAAACGGTTTCCATTATACAAATACAAACTGAAACCGTATTTCATAATGATGGCCAAAACGAAAAGCCTACTACATTCATTGCAACGAGCAAATATCTGTGCTATGAAAAAGACAACATAATTATAATGACAAATCTAAGGAATATCACTTTTTTCTTTCAAATTTGGCCTTTTGTCGAATATTAATGTAATGCTGATAGTATTAACAAATAATCAAGGGAAATTAGGGTAATTACCCTAATGATATATCTATCATAACTACATTCTCATTTCTCACAATATTGATTTGTTTCAATTAAAATTAAATTCGATGTTTTAAAAGCATATTAAGCAATATATTCTTCGTAATAATAATATTATTAATAATATTATTATTATTAATAATAATAATAATAATATTAATAACAATATTATTAATAATAATTATAATAATAATTATTATAGTTTCAAAGGAAAACAAACAAAAGTTTTCCAACGTATTCAATTTTTGAATACCAGTTAACCAATAATTATAATGACTGTGCTGTTTAAAGTTATTGAATTAAATTCATCCGATATATCATATTAAATGTTTCATATTTGTTTTATAAGTTATATATTTATAATATATATTAAAACTCCAAGAAAACTGCAAATATAATTTGTTTTTCTTGTAAAATTAAAAATTAGGATGACAGGAAAATGGGAAATATTGACATGATTGTGACACTTTGATTTTTATTATCTTAAAAAATACAGACATGATTTTTAATTCACTTTCCAGTGCTCATTGAATGAACATCTAGTTAGTTACACAATCACGGAGTTTTTGTAGACTTCTTGATGATATGCATTAGATGTGCTAAATGAGAAAAATGAGCCTGTTGTCGCAGAGTGTACTCGTTTCTTCACAATGTCTTGATGATACTTTTTATCTGCAACAAAAAAAATTGTTCATCAGTACTGACATCTTTATTAAGATTAATTATAAAATAGCCAACTCTTTTTGTTCAGTTTTAAAGGTATTTGGAATTACAAAATGTTAGATAAATCAATGATGCTCCAACAGAAAATAATTTAAGAACCACATATGAACATGTGTATCTTCCTCAGATCACATTTTCATGGCTTCTAGCGTATAGGCCGGTGTGATATGTAGAAAAGCTTACTGTTTATAAATTTTTACATGTTATAGCGAATTTTTAAATTTTTTAAATACCATTCCAAGCGTCTCCAAGCCTCTAACCACACTGCATGAGTAATTACCAACCAATTGATATAAAAAAACATGATACAAATGGAAATAACTGGGAATATCTTCGCGCCAATTTACCACTTGAATACCATTGTTTTTTCAGCTTGCTTTAACATGGTACTTAATTCACTAACTCCATACAAAAATTGATTGAACTTCTCAAAAAGAAAGGTCAAATAGAATGTACTCGACTTCCTACTCACGTTTTATTGAGCTATAATTTGCTACATGCAAGAGGCGCAGAGCAGGGCCTACAATCAAATGAAATCTCCAGATCGTTTGCTGATTCTAATAGTTTCCAATTATCGATAACAGAAATTTATCATTACTATCAGATATTTCCATAAATACTCGTTGCTTTCTTTTATTCGTGATTTTACGTTTAAGGTATAGTTAAAGGAAGAATGTACGAATTCCAGGGTTTAAGAAAACCTTCGTAAATTGCCCTCAAACCCTCAAAATAATGATAAATGAGTCTTATTAAAATAAACATTCATAGTTATAAAAACGTTTAAGTTTTTTCATAAATATTAGTTTAATTAATTAGTTCAGTACTTTAAACTTTCTTTCTTACTAACACACTTTCATAACTAAAAGTTGAGCTTCGCAGATCCCGTGATATGTTTATGAAAGAGAAGCACAGCTGCTCCTAGCAAGTGAACTTTTTAAGTACGATTAATACATGTAAACTGATTTTCTCTCTGATTTCAGCAGCGTTAGTCAGATTCAAAGTGGTATGTGTTTTGAGATGGCTTCTACAAAATACCATTTTCGTAACACATAGTCCCACGCTATGTCAATACTAGGTGTCATACACTCATGCTAACAACTTATATTTCGCATGTGCCTATGAAACGAAATATAATTATACTAAATTAAACCCAGATATCAGAGTATTCATGCAATCTCTTCATTACACTTGATAATGATTTGAAATCCTAATCACAATAAATAATCATTAATGCTTTCTATTAAAATTTTGCGTGAAAATTGTTTCCCAACACATCAAAAATAGATTGTAATGAATACGCAAGTATTCAGACTGATATGAATATATATCGCTTACAATTCTACAACCAAATAAAGAAAATTGTACTTTTTATAATTATTCTCACAGTATTTTGAATTTGTGTGTTAATAATAGTACAATGTAACTTTCAATAAGCTTCTTCAAATAATAATATGACTTCATTTATATAAATATTCAGCTCATTTTTAAAATTCTAGCTGCCATAGAAAGATGCATGTTGTTTATGTAAATTTATGAGTTCTATATCTTCCATCTTATTGATATCTTGCATATACATCTTATATGTCGTTCTCTATATAACTTACTGCAAACCTACTGCAAATCATGAAGCAGGTTAGTAAAGAGAAAGTCGTAAATTAAAAGAAATACCTTCGGCAAATACCTTGGTACGTTTGTAGACATAAAACCTACAATTCTTTTTCAACAACGAGACTGCGATTGACAGCGCATCCAAATATTAGAAAGCGTGTCATAAACTAAAATGTATAGTACTAGCTGTAGTGACCCGACATTGTTTCAGTCATCACAATCTATTAAACTGGAAAGTTAATACAATATTCGGTATAAAATGGAAGATGTCTGGTTTTTAATAAAAATAATAAAAAATCCATTGTACACCATTGAGATAATTTATTATTTATCCTACCTAATAGGTCCTTAATAATGATAAATACATAGCGATAAATAAATTGTTAATTCATAATAGTGATAATTGTTACATAAATAGTGGTAAATAAATACCAAAGAAACGCTGGTTTATTTCGGCTAGAATTATATACACCAATTCACCACGCCCAGTACCATTTCAACACTCCGCTTCGCTTTGCCCAGCACGACCAATTCCACCCCACTACGCTCCACGCCAATTCATTCCACTCCATTCCCGCTCATGTCACCGATCTCGCATTACCTAGTGCCATTTATTGAACGAGTAATTCATGCAACACCACCTATCTCAAAAGTCATTTCACACCGGAGTCAACAAACAAAGAAACACGCACGCACTATCCTACTAAACATGACCGTCTCGCGCACGGGCAACGACTCGACGCCAACTGGACCGTTCCGTGTATGCCCTCAGCCTCGATGCGGAAATGCAATGCCTGAGCGCCCTTACCTCTACCACTGTTCGCGACACACCCCTTGCGCGTCCATCTTCTGCCCGTCGGGGCACCTCTGGGAGGGGGAGAGCGGGGAGCGGAGCAGGCACGTGACGGCGTGCACCTCGCGCTGCGCACTCGCCGGGGATTCCCGCACTTGCCTGGCGTGGCCCTCGGCCGCCGCTCTGGGGGCGGGCGGGGCCTTCACGCCGAACAGGGGTTGGAAGGCGCGGCGGTGGCGCCTCCGTCCGGTTTGGCGAATGTAGGCGGGGAGGGGGAAGGGATTCGGGGTGCCCGTCGGGGGGCAGAATCCTCGCTGGCGTCCCTCGGCATGGCGGTGGTTTGGTTTGTGCGGCGGCGGGCGGTGGAGGATTGTGGTTTTCGGGGGTTGGTTTGGAGTGAACTGGGAGGCGGTGGAACGGGTTGTCGGTTGGTTACGGGGGTGGTTTTGGAGTGAAACTGGAGGCGGTCGCTACGGTTGAGGTGGGCTCGGGTGGTTTGGAGTTGAACTGGGAGGTGGGGTACGGGTTTTGAGGTTGGGCGTTCGCGGTGGTGGTTTTGGAGTGTACTGGAGGCCGGCCTGGTACGGGTTGAGGTGGAGTTTCGGGGTGGTTTGGAGTGAACTGGAGGTCGGTGGTTAGGGTTGAGGTTGAGGGCTTCTGGGGTCTGGTTGGATGTGGAACTGGAGGGGGGGTGGTAGCGGTGTTGAGGTTCCGAGGCTTCGGCGGATGGCCTGGAGTGGGCTGGAGGCGGCGGCACAGGCTGCGGTTGCGCTTAGGCGGTTTGGTCTTGAATGCGCTGGCGGCGGTGGTTGCGGCGGTTTGCTGTGCCTGGCCACCTCCTCGGGAAAGGCCGCCCTCAACCGGCGGAAATGGTGGTACTCGTCCGCGTTGGCGTTGCCGGTCAGGACGAAGCATCCTGCCAGCAGGAGCGCCACCCACATGCTGAGATTGAGTGGCGGTGCGATCTGGTCTCGAGCAGTTACCTCAATGTGACTCGCAGTCGCTGGCCTGCTCTTTCTCTTAAATACATCTCGTTCGCACGCCCAAGGCAGGTGCTTCGCCACGCGGACGCCGTGACGTAACTTGGCAAACGCGGCGTGTAAACTTCGCGAGCACGACCGCCCGAGCCCCCTGGAGTGGACTTCGGGGAACTACCTGGTGGAATGGTGATCACGTGCTTTGCACAAAGGGACGCCTGTGTTTGCGAGATGCCATGTTTTTATCGAGAGTTCTCAACTGGAAGAGGATGTGTAAAAAGAATCTAATCATTAGAAGTCGGATGAATTTAATCGGTATTATTGTATTGTGATTATGATTCCGTTTATGGCACCGTTTTCAAATGAAATGGAATGTTTTGTGCAGGATGTGCCCTGAACAAACTTGTTATGGGTGGTTTTACAAGAATATATAGCATTCTTCCACGATAGGTCGAGTCTACTCGATGACGAACGTGGCGATCACTTGAAATTTAAACAACTTAAATGCGGGTGATACAAAGAAAGAACCTATTAATTTCATCATTTCTTAAACATGTAATTTTATAGTACAATAATGTTATTATCTACGTAGTTGTAATATTGTTACGCTCTACTTTTATTTTTTCTTATTCACATTTTTACCACAAACTTCTAAAGAAAAATATTCTGATCGTGTTGTTCAGGCGTAAAATGAAAGTTAGGAATGTAGATACTCGTGGGGCTTCTTTTGTGATCAGGGTCGCAAAAAAATTGTACTTATATTTTTTAGTCCAACGACACACAGAGTGGCACGTGTTTCACGACAGAAAATAGCCTAATAAACTTTAATCTAACGTGCATCTCTTTAGCCGTTCTCATTAACTATAGCTCATAACTAGCGATTCGAAACTATTCATTTTGCCAAAACCCAAATGAAATAAAAGGTAAAATTAATCTGTTTTTCAAACTCTTTACCGTGGATTCTTCTAATCTATTTGTTTATGGATAGTTTAGTTACAGAATTTTGCACCAAACGTATGTACGCCGTATATGAGTGGTGAGGGCTCATTTCACGTTTTCCGCAATCTGACACATAATACGACACTCTATCTCACAGTTTTCATTAATCATAGAAACTAGTTTCTTTCACTACAATTATTTTAAATAATATATAAAAGTAACTATAAACTTATATAGCTTGAACGCCGTCTAGCGAAATTTGCAATGAGTACTTTTTTTTTTTTTTTTTTTTTTCAATTCTGCTAATTTACAATCTGTTCACTTGGAACAATTAGTAAATGGTATTCATGATAGAAGTTACTATGAAGAGAATCTAAAGGGTAAGTCTAGAATATGTTCACGCTTTAGCCTATACACATGTTCACTATTGTCCAACATGTTCACTGAGTGTTGATTCGGGTGGCATCCCAGTCTCTTCTGATGCCTCTTGCTTCTCTCCGAGATAGTCTCTGTCATTGTTGAGATGTTCAAATCTTTGTACAAATTATTGTTGGTGATGCAATGAGAACTAGAATCACCTCCCAACCGACGGTAGGTTATGTTGAAATTCTACTATACTGCGATTTATGCAACTCTGCCCTTGATAGGTATCAGTTTTGACGGTTTCATCCAATCGGGAGCTTGAACATCACCATAGTGACGTCACTATCGTGATATTCAAGCTCTCAATTGGATGAAATTGTTAACAGCTAATACCAACCAGGGGGAGAGTTGCGAAAATCACAGTATAAGAACTTGACGGACGTGCTCAATTTGAATCTTAAGGCGGTGTATGTATGGAAACAAGAGATGTGAGACGTGTGAAGTTAATAGAGTTTCTAAATCCAGATCTCTTATTGGTATTCGTGCCTAAAAACAATTATTATCAATATTAACAACTAAAAGGAATTATTGTAAATCCTTGAGATTTACGGGATTCCCTTGTTTGAATCTCGGAATTCCTTTTGATCACAAAGTGAAGTGGAAGTCCTACCGCTCTTGTTGCTTTACCGATTCTTACAACACTTTTACTCAACACTTTTCTGGTGAGGGACGCGAGTTAAGAATGTTTGCGCCCGTAAGTGCCTACGACCTTGAGATTTTTCATGGTAAAGAAAGACGGTTGGATTCTCTGAAACTGCTTTACATTGTCATACCTTTTTTTTCTAATGCTAAAATTTTGTATTAACTACTGTTACTTACCTTTTTTACTTCCTCGCATCTATTTTCATAGTATTGAGAACAATTGAGAATGTACTGTAATAACGCAGAATAACGGCGAATTTTCGTAAGAAAAATTGTTTTGTGACCCTTATACCCAAATAGTTAATAAATCTTGTTTCTTCATGCAGTAAATAATATTATCTAACACTATAGATAGTGTTAATTTATTTTTTTTGGGGGAATCTTCATTACGATAAAATTTGTTACGGTAAAACGTCTGTTCTGCAATCTGTCTGTCCGTCTGTGAACAACGCTAGCGGTTGAACCGTACGCAAGATTTTCACCAAATTTGTTATTCCCCAATCGATGTGGCTGATGTCACTGCTCCTTGAAGTTGAAACACTTTTATTTGTGGGGGTACATCACATGAAGTTGTAACATTTTGAAAATTTTCTCAAAAATAATTCTAATGTTTTTTCTCAGATAGAGAAACGACGCTTAAAAGTGATGTTGATCTCATTTTTGTTGAAAACTTAATTTTTGGAAAATTACGAAAGTTCCATTTTTTGTTGTCTGCCTACTTCTATAATATTGAATATAGAAAATGTTTCTTAATAAAATCTGTTCTTCTAATACAGATATTTTAATAAGATCAAATGCAATTTTTCGAAAATATGAATAGTTTTTGCGTAATTGTGCGTAAAATAAAGGCAATTTTTAAACGATTGTCTTTTTGAAGACAGTTCAATTTAAATGAAGTCGTAGGCTTCCGCGACCAGAGTCATGTGGGTGATCTGGGCTGTCCGGGTGACGCCGCGTCGAAGGCTGAGTTGCCGACGTTTCGACCATCCTGTCGTGGTCTTCCTCAGCATACCAGCCCTGAGGAAGACCACGACAGGATGGTCGAAACGTCGGCAACTCAGCCTTCGACGCGGCGTCACCCAGACAGCCCAGATCACCCACAGCTCAATTTAGTTCTTTAATATTTTTTCTCAAATGGAGCAAAGTTTACTTCTTTAGAAATGGCGCAGGGCGCATTTTCTGAGAACTCTCAATATTTTTGAAAATTGAGAAAAAATCATTGCGAAACTCCAATAATGATAATAGATATGTTTTATGGCTTGTTATTTTATAAAAATGTTTTAAGTGCTAAAAAGCATAATTCTTACGAAAGGGACTATTTGCAAGCCAAATTTGTAATATCTCAAACGTATTTGTAAGACAACAAAAGAAAAGTAATAAAAATGAATTAATTAAAGAACTCTTTTAATCCAAGTATACTAAATATGGTAAAGATGGGTTTAACGTATTCGTGCTCGTAAAAGAGGCTATCGAGTCCACGAACGGGTCTCCGTATGGCAGTATTACTATAGAACACAACTTTATGGGTATGTTTTCTTTGTGAATTCTAGGCAGGCCGTAGAGGTGAAGTGAGGCGAGATTTTACAGAATAAAATATCTGAATTTAGCACCTGAGAGTCCTTGAGTTTAGTTCTCAGTCCTTAGGATTTTTTTCATCATTTAGAAATTGGTTTATTTTGTCATTATGTGTCGAGCATGACTTTCCGTGTTTCCTTTCTCAGCTCTTGTGATAGTGAGATTGTTTTCTGTGACTTACTTGAAAAGAGTAAGAATTTACCGGCTTAGGAGAGTCACGGATCAACTAATGTCACTGCAGATCCTCTGACCGGGAGATCTTAGGGTTTAAATATCGAGAAAAGCTACAGAACTAGATCGTATTCAGTCTTTGTCTGGGGGAGAAGGGTATTTAGCGGCCGGCTGGACTGATCGGTAGTTTTTCTTGTTTTCTCCCATCAATTCCAGGCGAGTGCTGGAGCAGTTCCCTAACAAATGGACCACGGACCGTGCGCGATCTGTTCTTCCTCTTCCTTATCCGTTCCTCACCCCTTACTACCACATACACGTATGTACCCGTACTCTACAATACATACCAGGAGATTCGTCGGGATATTACAGAAGGGTTGCCAGATCCGCACTGGAAAGTCCGAAATCTGAGGGATAAAAATCCGCTCAAATTCGTCAAATGATTGAGTGGTGAAAATAGCGGACTGGTAATTTTAAAACAGCCTCATATTTACAAGTTGGTTAAATCAAAGACAGTAATTTTTAGAAAAACGTGAGTACAATTGCATGCCTGATTAATTAAAAATAAATAAAGTGGGTTCTTACATCTTTTCATTATAGCTACATATTTGCAAATGTTCAAAACTAAAACTCTTGTGCATGAGGCATATGTTTCAGAAGCCATCAATATTTTATCTATTTTTAGGAAAAATGTCTACTACTCATGATATTAGCACCGACCAAAATCCTCCGAAGAAGCAATGGATTCCACCCATTTTGCTAAATCCCGATAAATAAATTGTCTTCCCGCAAGGCTACACACCGCCCACTCCGTTTGCATCAACTTCGATGCACTGCTCTATGTTCTAACACTTTGAAGAAAGAATAATCTTATATTTTTATTTAATGAACATAACATAAAGTAAATAATATAACTCCACTAATCGACGTGTAGATCTCGCTATCCAGTGGGGGCAATACTTCTCCCGCGATAAAGACATGTACCACACTTACGGAACTACTTTCCTTAGCTGTTTTCACGCCCTTAATACCGAATAAATCAACCAATTAATATTTTGGAACTAACCATCACGAACCGACTTCGCAACGGGGCTGTCAATCATGCCCTGGATAAGCGAAAAGCCTTGAAATCATCGCAACCTGTTCGCTCTCACGGAAGTTTATTTCCAGAAACTCGGACTACCAGTAATGTCAACTTTCAGATAATTGTATAATTATCCCATCGGGTTAATGAATAGTCAAGTTTTTAAAAGAAAATTGTCATTTTCTTGTCAATGAAGGAAAACTGTCATAATGTAAACTAACAAAAAAAAGAAGGAATTTTTTATTAGAATATCCTGTATGATGCCAACTTTTATATTCAATTAGTATTATTACATTAAATATATCATAATAAGATGCATTGGAATTTGCAATATGTTTATTCGAAGTATACAATACATTTAAAACAATAGAAGACAATGTGATTCTTGATTTACAATGTCACTGTCACTTAGGAATGAAAAACGTGTTAAAACGGACTTCGGAACATTGAGAAAGTTTCTTACAAATTCTTACATATTCGAAAGTAATATATTTTTGTAATATTTTGCCTTCATGATTTTTCGCTTGATCGGTTACATTCGTTACGTAATTGAAATAATATTTCAATTATTGTTCGTTGCTTTAAAAAGTTGTGAGGTGAACTAATTTTTGAGTTAAGATGTTTCAATTCTACTTATCCTTATAATTTCACTCAGGTGTCTACTTCCATGGAAATAATACGAATATAACTGCGTCTGAAGCAAATTACTAACTCCAGATTGTAGTCATGTATACCTGTTCATTAAATTTCCCTTTTCTGTTGGTAGATAATAACCCTGTATTAAAGAAGAAAATGAATGTCTTCAGACTGTTTTGCTGTGTAATATACTGGAATAATAGTAATAGTTTCAACGGAACACATTCTGTTCTTCATTCTGATGAATGCTCTAAGAAATATAACTAACCTGAATGTCTCATAATATATATAGTAATGAAAATAAGTATACGTATTTAGGATTCTTTCACCCGTATACATAGGTGTTCCATTTAATGTTATATCTTCATGCGATACTCGTAAAACTGCACTTAATTCCATCAAATGGTTTTAACTACACCTAAAAGAATAATAGCAATCTCTAATTTGTATAAGCGTATGTTGCACATTATAAAACTTTGATAACTTTATACCTGAAAATAAATTATATTCAGGACCTATGAACTGTTTGACATTTTCACTTCTATGCATCACTTACACATTTTATATTCATAAAAGGCTTATCTGAAACCCAATTGCAGTATTAAGTTTCATCAAACTCTGAGAAAATGTTATCATAGAGACTAATTCGTAACCTAATTCCTATCACGATATAAATAAACCCTGATAATGTTCTTTACATTTTGCACAGATTACAGTTCTTTCATATTGTGACTTCTGTTAATACGTTTCGGATAGTTACTTTAAAAATTATAATTTCCTATCGTTAGCACTGAAGTAAATACTAAATTGGTTTTTGATTTGTTAATTATTAAAAATGTTAGTATTTAATTTCAGAAAATCGTTACACCTTGGGATCTCAAAAAGTGTTCTTCAGTATGGTCATGTTCTTTCATTCTAGTTAGAATTTTACGATTAGTTCCAACTAGAATGAAAGAACATGACAGGGAAATCAGATTAGACAAAACTCGGTATCAAATGTTGTGATAATGTTCTACCACTCTTTCAATTTTCTGAATCCGAGAATTTTTTATATTGAGACCCGAAGATATTCATTGTTACTTTCTGAAACTTTACAGATTAAAATAAATAATTCTAATAATACCGACGTTGAGGATAATCATTTCACGAAAATGTACGATGCTTTGCTATATAGATGACGAAAATTGAAAAAATAGTTCCCCTTCTTCATACCGCTTTCAAAACCTCCTCCCCCTTCCCCTTTTCTTGCCTTAACTTCCCCTGTCTCTCAGAACACATTTTTCAATCGCTCTCACCAACGTAATTAACTTGATTTTGTCTGTTTAGTGACGGATATCTGTATAATGTTAAGATACAAACTGTTTGGTGACCTCTCATGTGTCTGGTGTCTCATGTGTCTTTTGTGATCTGTCATGTGTCTTACCTGTCGCAATTTCTCCATTTTAATATTGTATAGAAAATAATTTTAATTTTGTACCATATAATTTCAAAAATCAGTTTTACAGCCTGATGGTGGGAGGCAATAATCCCCAAAACCGTTTCACAATTATGAAATAAATGCATGTAACAAAACAAAAATCGCCTTTTAAAAAATATGGACCCTAAAACTCCACAAACTCATAATGTATTATTGATGTAACGTCTTTTATAAATAAAATATAATGATGAATATTTAAACATTATGCTTCGATTCATTTTTTCACAATTATATTCGTAGCTAGGGTATTCTCCAGATAACAGTATACATATCTGGTTTTCGTAAATTTGAAACATATAATAACGTTCTGTAACTATATAAGGGGAAAAACGTTATCTCGAACGCGTTTCTTATTAGATTCGAGATATTCGAGTTTCAGGTGTTTTGAATGAAAGGTGTATATTATTAATCTACAGAATTCTTTGTCATTCCCTTTGGTTAAGTTGGATTATGATTAAACAATTGTAACGAGTGTTATTGACGAATTTGATAACGTGACAATTTTGATGCCTTGTAATTCAAAACTATTCATATTGAAAATCAAGCTACACATTGGAATTTACAGTACTTGCGTGAAAATAACGAAATCGCCCACTCCGTTTGCATCAACTTTGATGCACTGCTCTGTTTTAACTCTTTGTTGAACGAATAATGTTGTATTATTTCTTTTATCTTATGTTCATATAATAACAAAGATAGAATCGAGTTTTCCATTATTTAACAATCTGGAAAGAATGTAATTGCTTTGTCTTGTAATATTTATCTAGAGAGTCAAAACATATGCGCAGTTGCGGACGATTTCTCGTCTTGTTGGGCGTTCCTTACCTCTCCCTACCAGAGGCCCCTGCAGTTGCCCTCGGCGTCGAGCACCTGGCCTTCGAGGCAGGCGGTGACGTAGGTCGGGAGCTCCACGACTGGCGCCAGTGGCACCACCGCGGGCTCGTCGAACACGGCCTGGCGCGTGCGCCGGCCCACGCCCGGGGGCAGCGGGCGCGCCTGCGGGCCAGCCGGCAGCGGGGCCGGCAGCGGGGCGGGCCCGCGTCTGCGGGGCCGGGCGCCTCGAGGCCCGACGGGCGCCGGCAGGGGCCACGGGCCTCACCGGCGCGGGGGCGGGCCTCGTCTGCGGGAAGCGGGGCCGCGGGCGAGTTGCGGAGCGGCGCTGGACGAGTCTGCGGACGCTGAGCCTCTCGTACTGGACCGACGCGGGGTTGGCATTTGCGGCCGGTGGGGGGCGCGAACGGCTGGGATTTGCGGTTCCGGTGGCGTGGCGAACGGGCTGGACCTGCCGGTTCCGGTGGGTGGGCGAACAGGTGGACCTGCGCGATCGCTGGGCGGCGCAACAGGTTGGACCTGCGGTCCGGGTGGGTGGACGAACAGTTGGACCTGTGCGTCCGTAGGCGGGCGTGCAGGCCGGCCACAGAGGAACTTGGGCCTCCCTCACCAGGCGTCTGTGGTGCCCTCCGGCGCGGTTCAGGGTGCGGCCTCACAGGCGGGCGTGCCGGCGGCGGCGCGGAGGCGGGTGCGGCCGGGCGCGGCGGCCTGTGCCACCGGGTGGCGGCGGCGGCGGTGGGAGCGGGTCTGGGTGGCGGCTTGTGGTGCGCCGGCGGCAGTGGCACGGGCTTTGGGCCGCGGCCGTGCCTTCCGGGCCTGGGTGGTGAAACCGGGAACGCAGCTCGCTCCACGCGGATGTGGTACTCGGCGGCGTTCGCGCTGCCGGCCACCGCCGCCAACACACCCAGCAGAACAACAGCCCACATCTCGACGGTCCTGGAGGGAATCGGTGGACCGCCTGCTGACAACTCGCGGGCTGGCGGCACCACTTGCTCTTAAATACGACGCAGCTGCCGCCCGCGGACGAGCCCGGGCGACGCGACTGCGCCGCGAGGGCGTGACGTGTTTGGGTACACAGCCAGTGCAAACTCGGCGAGCACGAGCGCCCGAGACCTTGCGGAGTGGCCTTCTCGGAAGCCGCGAGGTGGAGTCGGAGCACGGGTCGCCTCGGCGAAGTGCACGTGACGGCTTCGCGGGGCTTTGCCACACGACTTCGATTGGTCGAAATTCTCGCCGTGCCGGGGAAGCACCTGTGGGCTGTGGCAGGTGCGATGTTTTCCATCTCGTTCGTAGACTTTGTCGTTCTCAGAAGGCGCTTGTTATGATCCATTAGCACCTGGTGAGAGACGAGCTTAAAGTAGGTGTGTTTGCGTCTGGCTGTGTCTATGACCTCATGGTGTTCCAGAGGAAATGTATACGCAGTGTATTAAATAATCTTGGGAGTAAGTAAAAAAAAACTTTTTTAAAAGTTGTTATATGTCGCATTTTCACTTGTTCTGAACCAGATTGTGTTTGGTGAGCGATCACTGAGCGAAGTGTGTGACTATGGAAAATTTTCTGAAGCACGTAATGGTATTAATGAAAGTAATGACACCTAATGCAATAGAGATGGGTGTGCCTGAAGGACGGACAAACAGATCTAATCAATCCTGCGAAATGCCATTATTTAACAAAGTACGCCGCAAATACACAGGGTAATATAATTGGAAATATCCTTAAAGATTTAAAATAATAAACTAAACTGAAAGTTATTATCAAATATGCGTTTTAAAAGTATGATAGATAAGGAAGGTAATCGAAGAAGACAGAACAAGTTTGAGTTTAATTACAAAAATATTATATTGTTTCTAGAGACCTACAAGACGACAAATCGTAAAGCAGCTAAAAACATTCGATTGAAGCATCTAAAATTAGAAATGCATGTCAGACTAAATGTAGAAAATCGTGGTTATTGTTTGGCAATAATATGTGAAGAAACATTTCAGAAATTTTGAAGTAGCCTCCAGGAAGTACGAGGGAGTTTTCAAGGTATAGAGGATGCACGTAGTGCGTGTGCAAACATTTGAGGCTCCTTTGCCAAGAAGCAAATTGCAAAGCCTGTAATGGGCTGATTGACCTTCACATTTCTTTGAACATCTTCGTTGTTGGATGCGTCACTTTGTACACCGACTTTCCTCCAATCCCTTGCCATCCATAGCAAACAGCCATCATACATGAAGCCCTCGATGATAAACGCAAGTTCCAAAATATCATCATGCCTACAATTTCAGATTAGGTGAGTGACACAGTAACAAAGAAACGTTTCATTTTGTAGTAAACAATTGACAATTATTTATCTCTGTAATAATTGGAATTTAATGTTATGGTTGTATGTAAAGGTGATATTCACAAATGAAATTACTACAGCCGCAAAATCACACTTCTATAAATAATTAGAAATGTAAGCATACGTTTTAAACAACACTGGTAAAAAAGGTTAAAATTTGAGCATAACTTACAAATAGTGACCTTTGTACCTTGTATAGTGTAATTTTGTTTTCGTTTTCATGTGTGTGATTGTATAATGAAAGTGATTTTGTTTGTGAACATGGCCTTTACATAAATATATTGATTGCATACAAACATGATTTTAATATTGTATTGCTTAATTTGAATTGAACGAATTTGTATGTAATTCACTGCGGTCAAATAGTTGGCTCTGTTCAGTAGTTTTAATTGTTTCGTTTTGCAGTACGTTCGTCACAAATAGTAATTGATTAGAACAAACTTAATAAATGATACTTCCTTGATGTTGTAGAATTCACTCTACACCCGTTTGATATGAGGTAAATGTGTGCTTGCGCTCTATTTTCACGTCTAATAACATCACATATTTCAACATTGGACCATAATTGGAAAGAAAATACTTTTTCGTCGAAAAGCATCGCGACTCTAAAAAGAGTTTGCTCTTCTGATATTAACGAATACCTTTCACAAGTGATTGGGAAGAATGTACTGTAGTTTCCACGTTAAGTATATTGTAACGTATTAGCCAGCGTGCCTCATGGCATCTATTTGGGGACGCTTGGTTGCGGATTAGTCTCGCCACAGGAAGTAGGGTTTTTCCGTAAAGGGAAGAACGCGGAGACGGGAGACACAAGGCTTTGGGTGTCTTCCGGCTTATAGAAGCTTTTCACTGTTATAACAAGCGAGGGGGTGGCGTGACGTAGGAGGTCACGTGGGCCTCGCCTATATAACAGAGTGTACGGAGCCAGTAGGCAGGTTCTGGAGACGGTGGGAGAACCTCGTGCGTGTGCACAAAACTTGGCGCCAAGACGGTGCATATGCGAGCCAGGCTCGCGAGGCTGGAGTCATTAGTTGACGAAGCCTGCGGACTTTATGTCCTTGGGTGACTGCGGTCACGGGGGAGCGATGCTGTGTGCGTGCTCCGAGGTGAAGAGTGGTTGAGTGCCACGATTCACGCCGATTCTCAATCGGATAAGATCGCTCCTGCGATCGAGGCAAACCAGCCGTTGGTGCGCCAGAACGGACTTTGTGTCCCAGCGTGACATCCGGCCACGGGAGCTAGGCTTTGTGCGCGCTTCAAAAGTAGGAGTGGCGAATGCCACAATCAAAACAATCTTCAATCGGGTTTTGGATCGCTCCCGCGATCAGGGGATAGTAGGTCTATCAGAGCTAGGGTGTAAGTAGATTATTAAGTGTATATATTTGTTTTGTTTTCTTGTTAATAAATATATTTGTTATACGAAAGCTCTGTGTCTGTGATCGCTGTGAGTATCCATGACGTCACAATATCCTAGTTGTCCAAAACCTAAAAAAGGCATAATGATAAATGTGATTTTAAACTTGAGGTATAAAAAAGATTGTGACGTCAAAATGAGGAAGTACACGTTTATGTTCGACAAAGTGGGCAACTTCCTTCAATTGAATACAAGCGATAATATAAGAAGAATATAACGAAACTAAGTAACAGAGAAATTACCAATATTATTATATATAGTACGACGATTGCATTGAGTTCAAATTACGCAATGATCAAGCGTCGATGATAGATCCCTGGACTTTCAAATGGGCAAGTGGTTTATAAAAGAACTTCTCCCGAAAATAATATGCCCGACTTTGCACATGTACATTAGAATGCGCCAAGTTTTAATTAATGAACTTTCGCTTTCGGTTTGCTTGTATCACACGTTCTATAAAAATTATGCATGGCAGCTTATGGTCGGCCATTAGAGAAATGTGATAAGAAAAATCGTTCAGAAATTTTTATACACCACTGATATTGAAGCAAATCAGAGTTATTGTAAAACATTATTAGTGTTAATATCATGAGAGAAATTCTCAATTTAATTACATGAATTTGTGATTTCATTTGGACAAATAATTTAATTTCCAGTGAGTTAACTACTGTAGAACTACTGTGCTGAAGTCAGTCAGGGACGAGCGCTGCCGTCGTAAAATTTCTGGCCGAGTATTTTTAGGGTTTGAGACCCGACGCTGGCAGGTTTTCGATATTAGTGAAATCGAATTCAGCCACTATCTGCAGAAGTATTGCTGCAGATGGTTGCTCTGATATATCTCGTGTTTTTTTCGATTAATACCAGGAGAATGGCGGAGCAAACGAGCTTCGAACCACGTGCGATATTCCCTTCCCTGTGACCGTTTCGTCAGTATTATAATTATTCTTACATCTGTTACCTGATATTCCAAATCCCTGTTTAAACTGTAATCTAATCTTACCGGACGAGCGACTTTGGCACTGGAATATTTATATTTGGATAGTGGGCTGAAATCCCTCCTGTACAGGATAGGGATATGATATTTATCATTATTTTATTGGTGATGAAAGGGGAATATACCTTTCTTTATCTACAAACAAAAAAATGGAAATCATTGAAATACGAGTATATTCGGCACCGTGACCAATGTTACCGTTAATTTATTCTAATGAATATCAAGTTTCTCTCTTTCTCCTCAAATTTAAATTTTTTACCACCTTTGTTTTTATGATAATTACAAATTATGATGATGATAGCCATCGAAACTGCATAAGACTTAATTTTTTTATAATCTTGCTTTTCCTAATTTTACTAATTAACTGAACATTCTTGGCCTTTTTAGACAATTGGACTTTAGACAATTTAATTCTGCAAGGTCTCTTTTTTATACTTAATTTCTAAAATATCCTGATAGTGAGGAATAACTGCAATCTTTGCGCTCAGAATAATCACTCGGCCCGTAACGTCGTCCTTCCACTATTTCTGGGATTCCACGTTGAAATCGTATCTGCATACGTGTTTGTTTGACCTACTTCTATTAGCTGTCTACGGTTGCGTCTCAAAACTCGCATCTACAATCACGACATATCCTAACTTATTAATATTTATACAATTCACGGATGTGCGTCTTCCATCTACCAGATCACACGAAATCTTTCTCAAAACATTTTTATGCCAGTCACGGCGACACGTTTTCACTCTACCGAAACACGAAAATTGCCAGCACATGCTACACCATATTGTCGGCTGGGCATCTGTCACCCCTCTGTGTCTTCTCCAGACAGACTAGTCTTTCAATTGTTTTTTCAACAATTAAATAGACAATTTTTTAGCTACTGTGACGTCACACTTCATTGTCTACTACTTTCTCATAACACATTTAGACTTAAGTGCTCTACACTACCACACCTATCAGGATACCCAGTCAGGAGAAAACAGCTTAAACGCTGGGGGCAGTGTTCCGCTGAGGAAATATACCTGGGGGGGGGCGCAATTCCGCAAATGGAAATGTAGGTCGGCGCCGGATCTCGAATTCAACAGGAGGAAGATCAGTACCATTTTCGGCTACGACATGCTCTACGCTTACGGGACAACCTATATCAATGTAGATAACGTGTTCTAAAAGCCGCACTTAGTGGCCGAAGTGG